ACCTTTGGGTGAGGGTTTTTGTTTATGAAATTTTCAGATTTAACAAGGGCTCAGGATAGGTTTATATTTGTATGACAGTATTTCCCAGCACACAATTTAATATAATCACTTATATAAATGGTTTTCCAACAGAATACTGGGGTATGCCTTTATAGTTGCTCAGACTTGGTGGTAGTAATAAAATTCATTTCTCCTGCTCTGTTAACAGGATTCAAGACTCATGAGTACCATGTTATTGATGTAGCCTTTATTGTCCCATTTTTTTGATCCTCTATTTGATTATTCGTGTAATATTAAACATGGTTCTTTGTATCAATAATCATTTGCTAAGTACCTCTTATTTCCCAGGCATTTTTATGGGGTGCTTCAGGAAAATATCATGTCATGTATGATATTTTTCCTCAAGTCTTCTCATAGCCTGGAGTTGAGAGAAAGTTTGTGATCCATGCCAGCCAGTATAGTGTACTAGTTAACAATACAATAAAGTTAAAGACCAGGTACTCAGACAATAAATTGGCCTATGTTTCTCAAAAAGGAAATCTTTTTCAGGGCAATGACACTGTATTTTGAAAGAGTCATCAAATTTTTCCAAAAAAGGGAAAAAAATGGAATGAGAATGAGATATGTCACCTATATTGAAAGGAACCTTGAATGACATATAACTGAACTTTGAATTTTATCCTGAATGTAATGAAAAAAAAATCACTGGAAACTTTAAACAAAAGAGAGAGGAGGTTTGCCTTTTAGGGAAATCTCTTTAATGACCTTGGGAAGAGTAGATAAAAGAGAAACCAACAGGTGGCAGGGAGCTTAGAAAGGAGAATTTTGGAATAATATAAGCTAGAAAGTTGTTGTTAAGGCACCTGGCTAGATGACAACATGGAATATTGGCTAAAAGCTAGAACCCTGGTCAAGAGACTTGGGAACTCAAATGCATCTAATATCTTTTTTGACATTTAAATGTTCAAAAGTTGTATTGAACAGTCTCATTCAGTTAAATGAAAATGAATCCAGTTGGGTTAATAAAGCTTAAAGGGGATTTGTGGTATGTGACAAGAACTCACAATTCAGGAATAGAACTCTCTTTGTGACCCCCTGGTCACTCTCCCCTTCATAGTTTGCTCTTCACATCTATTCCATTCTCTTCTCTCTTTCACTCCATCTCTCTTGACACAATTTCTACCTCCTCATAATGTCTTCTTGTCCATAGCCATCATGGATTCTCAGGCTTCGTACTATATAACAAATATTTTCTCCTACTGAGTGGGAAACTCTCTCAATGCCTTCTGGGACACATTGCCAAGTGAGAAATATGGATGGCTCTACTCATCTCTGCTCCTCTGACCACACCATATCTCCATAGCTTCCTCTGCAGCACTTTGGCTGGCTCCAGGTTTGGAGTGATAGCATAGAGGGAGACAATGGAGGATAAGAGATAAAGCAATTATCTTTAGAAGGGATATGGAAATGCCTCATGCTAGCTACAATGAGAGTGGGATTCAGCAGACAACTTCAAGTGAGTGTTAGGAATTCAAATAAGTTGAATGTAGTGAATCATTAAATATGAAAAACAATGTGAGCCCCTGACTAACTAATAGGCCATCTACCCAAAGAAGGAAAAGAAAAAGAAAGATCTTGGGATGAATACAATTTTGGACTTGTAAATTAATTTTGCAGAAAATCCTAATAGGTAACTATATAAGCTGTTTGGCTTTCAAGAGATATTTGGATTAGAGAGCGCCATTTGTTACCACTCTGTTTTTTGGCTTCTGAAATATACTATTATTTTATTCTTTCTCATTGCCTCTTCTTCTTTCTCTTCTTTTGCATATTCTTCCTTTATGTGATCTTATTTGAAGGTCACATGTTTCTAGAAGCCCAGTTCTGGCTTCTCTTTGTTTTCTCTATATACTGTCTCCTAGATAATCTCACTAAATTGTAAATTATAAACACTATATTTATACTATAACTTAAAAATTGTTGTCTTCACCCAGGCACATCCAGTTGATTACATGATTTATGTAGATATCATGCTGACATCTCAAACTCTTGATTTGAACCCACCTCCATTCATCTTTGTCTTATTGAATAACACTCTGATTCTCTTGTCTACACAAACCAGAACTTGAGAATCATCCTTGGTATTATCTTTGTTTACTCCCCTCTGCCAGTCCCTCAGAAATGCCTATAATTTCATCTCTATAATATATCATGAATTCATTTTCTCTTCTACACCTCAATTTATGCAACTTTAGTTCAAACTATGATTGATGAACATTCTAATGCAACTATTCAATGATTTTGTCTTTGTTTTAAAACAAAATTCAAACTCCTGTAAAGGTTATCTGATCTTTACCTCTATCCTTACTCTACACTCCTATCATACTATGTTCTAGTCACATAACAAACTTCTTCTCATGACAGCATATGTTCTTGATACTTCCGTCATCAAAAACAACCTTCACTGAGCTGGAGCCTTTGAATGATACAAGTCCACAATTGAATAGGAGGATCATTTCTGTGTCCACTATAAAGTAGCCCCCATCCCATCCATCTCCATTCATGTCCTTTTTCTGTTTTTAAATACTTATTCCCCTAGGGGTATCTTCATTTATTTGTTTGCTTATTTAAGGCTGGTTTTCCCACACCCATCCATTAGAATCTAAGCTTTAGGAGATAGAGATGCTGCTCTCCTTGTTCACTCCCATACCTCTGGCATCTGCAGCAGAACTTGGTATATGTATTATAGAGGTTGTTGAATGAGTGATTCAGTTAATTACTTCTTGCAAAAGAAACTTGACACGTCTTTTAATTTCTTCCTACAGTAATTCATTTTTCACGAAAGAATAAAGTCACCATTTGAAAATATAAACCTGATTGTATCCTTTTATAATTTAATCTCTGATGGTTTCCTAGTGCACTCAAATTAAAATCAGACCCATAGGTTGGTTATCAGTGCCATTCTCCTTGCTCATTACTGTCCACTAATCTTTCACTTCCTTGATAACTAATTCTCTTCTGCTTGGTCACTTTTCCTGACATTCTTTGCATAAATACTTTTTTTTCTTTCTTTAGATTTTTTTTTTTTTGTACCAGGGATTGAACTCAGAGACACTCAACTTCTGAGCCACATCTACCCTATTTTGTATTTTATTTAGAGACAGGTTCTCATTGAGTTGCTTAGTGCCTCGATTTTGCTAAGGCTGGCTTTGAACTCACAATCCTCTTGTCTCAGCCTCCCAAGCCACTGGAATTACAGGTGTGTGCCACCCCACCCGGCTGGTATGTTATTTTTTTAGAGAGATTTTTCCCTGACCTTAAATTAAGACCCTCTATTTTTTTCTTTTTCTCAGTTTGGGGTATGTTTCTTCATAACACTTATTAGTTTTTCTGTTGTTGCAATTATATATATGCGCATTTGGTTTCAGTCTGCCTCTTCATGTAGGATGATCATGGTGGAGATTCAGTCTTTCTCTCTTTAGTATTCTTAGTATCTAACATGATTCTTAGAATACTGAGACACTCAACATTTTACTGTAAGTTATATCAAATGGTAATAGAACGTCTTAGAAAATAAATGAGATTTCCCATGGTTTCAAACTCAAGAGTCCTCATTAAATCCAGGCTGAAGATGTGGAGTTTGGTTTTAGTTTTGTTTTGTGTTGTTTTAGGGCAGTTTAAGAATTTTAAATGTCTTTGAGGTGTGACTTGAATGCTTCAGTTTACGTAGTCCTCATCCAAGAGTGGTACTTAAATATTTTAAAATAAAGCAAGGCCTTGCATTAGTTAGTAAGGACATAGGAACTCCTACTTTACCAAATATTAACCCGAGGAGAGGTGAGTAATTCAATAGGTTGTTGGATCTTTCAAAAAAACTAAGTGGTCAGAGAAGAGAGAGAGAAGCCTTTGGGGCAATGGATATTTACTGATTTTCATAGAAATGTCCAATATTAGTGAAGATACTCCAATCCTGCCATCTCTAACTTAGCCCTTGTAGGCATCTAAGTTTGTGATTCCTTCTGTCATAGAGAAAGAAAAAATAAGAGCAAGGAACAGAGTCTCTGACAAAATTAGTTCAGAAAAGAGCACTGCAGAAGGTAGAGAGGAACCAAGAGAAAATGGCTCTCTAGCTGCTTAGGGAGGAAAGTGCACTACAATATACGGTCAATTCTGTCAGTAGATAAAGGTGAAAAACTGTTTGGAGGGCCTTGAGGGCTCCAAGAAGAAAAGAAGTTTTAATGCACTGTTGGGTATGAAATCAGCTTTCAGTGGAGGGAGAACTGGTTGGAGACAACTGGATGAGCATACTGTGAAGGACGTGGTGCTCAATTGTGCTGGGGACATGAGGCAGGAGTAGAAATGTCATCTGCAGAGAATTTTCAAGCAGCAATACAACTGACTGAAGTTGGCCTGCTCTTGAGTGTTATCATGCGCTGGCAGTTCTGCACAGGTTAGGGTTTAAATTGTCCTCCCCTCAGTTACCACTCTTATAGAGAGGGATAGTTTACAGCTGAAAGAGGGCAGAATCAGAGGAAGATGATTTATAAGACTAGAGAGACTTGTGACTTTTTACATAATAAAAGGAAGAGGTCAGCTCAGAGGAAGTGCTTCAACAGAAAAGACATAATCATTAAAGCAATTTGAGGACACACAGAATGAACAAAACCCAGGGATGACTTAGCTCTGAAGAAAAATAGGGGATCTAATTCCCAGGGGCAGAATCCTGGATCTGTGACTCAGAATTATGTCTTTAGTACTAGTTGTAAATTTATTTTATTTTTTATGAATGCAATTTTGAATATATTACTGTGTAATTATTCATTATATCTGTTTTTGAAAATAACATTGGTGTTTCAAAAATAACATCAATATTGTAGACATGACTGCTACTAACATATTTCAAAGATTCCATGCAAATAACTTAAATGCATTGTGCTAATAGAGATATTCTAATCTGACATTCAATTAATGCATTCTGCATTTGCACTTATTTCGTACAGGTAACAAATATTGGGTATTCAAGGACACAACTCTTCAACCTGGTTACCCTCATGACTTGATTACTCTCGGAAGTGGAATTCCCCCCCATGGTATTGACTCAGCCATTTGGTGGGAGGACGTTGGGAAAACCTATTTCTTCAAAGGGGACAGGTCAGTACACACATCACATAGGAAAGAGTTAATGAATGTTTCCAGAAGTCAATGTTTCTGGTCTATCATAGGCAAGCGCTGTTGATAACGAATCTGTGTGGCTATAAACACAAGTTAATGCAATAGAAAATATTTTAAAATACATTTTAAATAATATAATATTTAAGATAAATCACCATATAATGAACTAATGTGACTTTCTTATGATGTATTTTTTTTAGATTTTTCTTTCTAATACATTTTTAAATTTATTTTTTATTAGTTCTAATCAGTTATACATGACAGCAGAAAGCTTTTTAATTCATTGTACACAAATGGAGCACAACTTCATTTCTCTGGTTGTACACGATGTAGTATCTATTGTACCACATGTGTTGTCATATATATACCTAGGGTAATGATATTCATCTCATTCTACTGTCTTTCCTACTTCTGTGCCCCCTCCCCTTGGCCCCCTCAAAATTCTTCCATTCCCCCCACATCCCCTCATTATGGATCAGCCTACTTATTATGGTGTATATTTCTACAATATATATTCTTTCTTTTCTCCATGTTCTTTGCATGCCTATAAAGCTACATAGGCAGTGAATATATGTGTCCTTATAGTACATTTTCTTATAATTTTACTACAACTAGGAAAAAAAAATACTTCTTAGTACAAGCTTTGTGTGTCCTTACACTCAATGTTAAATGGTTACCCTTCACACACAGTTAATTGTGACCATTTTCAAATAATTTCAGTTTACTCACAGGTATTCCCTTAGAAGCCATTTATTAAGTTACCAACAAGCAGATGCTGTGAACTATTAACAAGTTATCACTGCAGTAGATACTGTTAGCGTGAAGTATAACATCCCTTCCCGGAAACTTTATTCTTTTCCTTTTTCCTGTGACATCACTAACAGGATTCATAAAATTTTTTTTATAACTAAATTGTTAGCCTTATAACTCACAGTAGCTATCAAGGATACATAGCTCCACCCCTGTCCATTCTTTGACAGATATTACATATAAAATATATAAAGACTGTTTTTATTAATTTAAATAAATACTAAGTAGAAAAAGTAATAAAGATGAAAACTCAAATTTCAACTAAATTGTTACTAACTGGGTAACAATATGAAAGCACTAATTATCCCTCACTGGTTTGTAGGACTTACGTACGTATGCCATTGGGCTGCCTTTTCTAAGCACATTATAAAGAATACACAGGCTTTAATGTCTTATGTGCTCCTAAAGAGTTTGCCTGATTACCCTGGCATAAAATATCCCTGTTTGTTATCTCCAGCTTTAAGAGTAAAATAACTAAGGATATAAATATGTTTATTTAAAATTTATGATTTTTAATTGTAAATGATTTCAGACATTGAGTTTTATCTGTGATGAGATCCTATAATTGGCCTCCATGTGTAAGAATGTAAACTTTTGAGTTTATTCTGTTTTCAACTTTTACGTATATTATATTTCTATAACAAAATATCCATAGATTTTAATTCATGAAAATATAGTCAAGGCCTTTCTAAAACACTTCTTAGTAAATCACAAACAAAAGGATTCAGCATAGAGATGTTTGCTAGAGCCACAAAAAGCATAATGACTCTCAACAGTATATAAGTATAATATAATAGAAGAGAAAAAATGAAGTACTTATTGCCACAGAATAATGACCACTAAATAAAATAAATGTGCAGACTTATATTCTTTAAAACATTATAACCCTTGAGGTTGTTTAATTCTCTAGTTTTGATTATTTACATATACTCTTTCAGGACTAGGCATAGGACAGAAGTCTGAGAAGATATGTTGGAGAGATTGGTTTTCAGACACAGAAGGAGAGTTTAGCTTTTGGGCTCTGGATATAGCACAGTGGTAGAGCTTGCCTAGCATGCATAAGGCCCTGAGTTCAATCTTCAATATGGGTTGGAGAGCTTCATACATAACATTAAAAGTTATCATTTAATTATCAGATAGTTCTTTTTCCTATATATGCCAGAAATATTTTTTAAATCTTCTTCCCCTTCTAAAAATTTAGTTATTAGAAAAATTTTACTTTACAGATAAATACTAGTTATTAGTATTAATATTAAATTAATTTGAGAGATACCTCAAATTCATGAAATCAGTTTAGATTTAATACCAAATTTATAATAAAGATTGTTAATAAATGAGAAAACGGTTTCAGTTCATTTCCTTCCTACTTCAAACACTTTTTGTAAGATAGAGCAAAGTGTATGAATATACTCTTATTACTTGTGTTTTACTTAAATCACTGTGATTTTATAGGCTTTAAAAATATTGAGAGTAGGATTCCATATAATTTCCAGGCGTATGATCTGATGTATCATGAATTATAGGTGATACATATTTATATAATTATATAATTCCAGAGTCATAACATTTATCAATACATTCATTCTAGATTTATGACCCTACCTAATTGTACCTAGCTGCCTGTAGTGACAATATGACTATAAGGCAATCAATTTCATTTTCAATAACTTTAATGTCTGCTTCCTTCAGATGTCTGTACCAGTCCTGGCCTAGCCCTCATTAATTCATTCAAAATTTATTTTTCAAAACATACTATATCACATGTGCTAGACAATAAAGATAGATAATATTTAAAACTACAAGGCTTCCCATGGCTCTTACATTCTGTTGGAGTAAAAAAAAAAAAATGATGACCTTAATGGTTTTTACATTGAGAAATGTTACAAACAAGTATGGCAAGTTTTTTAGGGATAGAGATTCATTGGAGATAAGGAGTAATTAGGAAGTAGTGGAAGTTGGAGAGGAACTCACTTGTGAATGGCACACTTGAGGAGTACCTGAAGAGGGACAGGTTTTAGCTATATGAAACTATTCAGACCAATGTGTCATGGACAGATGAAATAGTTGTGCTAAGGACATGAAAATAGGACATTCAAAAATAGAAGAAAGCATGTGGTTAGAGCATAGCCATTAAGTGGTCAGAAGAGGTCAAGCAGGTCAGTAGAGATCCAATGGCACAGCGTCCTGGAGGTCATCGGGAAGACTTTGTACTGAGTACAATGGAAAGGCAGTATAGATTTTCAGGAGCACAATGACTTGATTTTATGTGTGTCCCTAAAGGTCATTCTGGCTGCTGTGAAGAATGGGCTTCCAGAGTGGAAGTAAGAAGGGTACTTGGGAGACCACTGGACAGGCAGAGAGGACAGTAGCAGTGGAGGTGAAGCAAAAGTGATAGATGTAGGATTCCTTTTGAATGTAATCATAATAAATGATTATTCTTATGACTTGGATCTCAGGGGACATGAAACAATTTCTAGAATCTTCACCCAAAAATTGAGTAGTGTAATTTCTGGAGAAAAAGGAGACAAGGAAAAGAATATTGGGGGGGGGGGGAAGAGATGAAGAGATTGAAATGTCCTTGTTGGATCTGAAGCATCTATTTGAAAACCAAATGAGAGGAATCAAGTAGGCAGTTGGATAATTGAGTTTGACTCTGAATGGAAAGGTCAGTGGGAGGCACAGATTTGGGAGTAATTGACATATAAAAGGTATTGAAAGCAGAGGTCCCCATGAAATCTTTTAAGAATGGAAATAATCAAGAGTAGAGGAAATGGTGGTTCTTTAAATAGATCTGTAAATGCAGATTAAAATATCTACTCTTTCACTACTTCACATACAGCATGGAACTCGGTCCCTCAGATTCCTGCTTGCCCTTTTCATAATAGACTATAATTTGGTACTTGGATACATTTTGGTCTTCATAGCATTTAGCTCTAAAATGCTATGTTTCTAAATCACTTCTTAGCATCTTCTCACAAATAAATTCCAAGATTCTAGTGTGATACAGCATTCGAAGTTCAACTATTGAGAAATGTAAAATCATATTTTTTAAAAGACAAAATTCTGGCCCACCTTGGAATTTTTTAAATTGCCACTAATAGTCAAATAGAAAAATACTTCCAGCTTAAATTGTGTTTATGAATTAATTATTTTATGTATATTTAAATCATTCAACAACATAGTAAAAAATGATATTTTCTGTTTTGTCGCATTTTAAGTATGTTTCTGAAGAGTATGATTATTTGGGTATGAAAAAAGAAGCATTCTATTATTTTGTGGTCGTAAATCTTGAATCTGGGCAAAGAATTGCAACCATGTTGGATTTATTTTTTTTAATTTTTTATTCTAATTTGTTATATATGACAGCAGAATGCATTACAATTCATATTACATATATAAAGCACAATTTTTCATATCTCTGGTTGTATGCAAAATATATTCACACCATTCATATCTTCTCATACATGTTTAGGGTAATGATGTCCATGAGATGGACATCATGTTGGATTTAAAAAAAAAAAAATCTGTCATGTGAAATGACCCTTGGGTCCACTTGAATTTAGTTTGGAATTCAGTATCCAGCAATATCTAATTAAATTGTTTCACTACAGAAACTTCTATATTGTTTTATTTCTTAGCATAGAAAGCATTTTAAAAATTTCCATCACATGAATAACTCTTTTCTCCTATTCATGTGATTCATGATCAAGTCTAAAATCTGACTAATGAATCTTATTTCTTATCATAATTGTTTTAAAACATTAAGAATGCTTCTCTCAAAGAAACATCTAATTAAAATCAAAATTCTACAGTAGATCCCGGTGGTTCAGGAGGCTGAGGCAGGAGGATCACAAGTTCAAAGCCAATCTTAGCAACTTAGTAAGGCCCTAAGCAACTTATCAAGACTCTCTCAAAAAAAAAAAAAAAAAAAAAACCTTAAATGCTTGGGATATGGCTGAGTTGTTAAGTGCCCCTGGGTTTAGTTCTCAGTTCAAAATTAAAAAAAAAAAAAAAAAAACTACAATACACATGACTGATGATCAGAATGAAAAGGTATATGATGTTCATTTATAAACTCTTTGTCATTTATTGACCCTTCCGCACAAAATTCCATATTTTCTCCACTATAACATCTAAATTTTAAAGTCCTCAAGCAGTTTAAAGAGTTCTAGCCTGAATATGCTATTTCTTTTTTAACCAATCCATAAACTTATTTTTCTGGGAGGAAAATATCAGCAGGTTGAGCTTTTTTGTTAATGTTGGAACATGTTCAAATATGTGAAAATTAAAACCCAAACCTTTATTTAACAAGCCCTAGTACCTTTAGCAAGACAACCCTGAAAATAGTTAAGCATTTCTTATCACATTCCAGACTACGGGATATTCACAAAGCTGACACACAGCAGGCAACCTGAGGGTTCAAGCCTACACTGAGATTCTCAGATTGCAAAGTGATCCCCTATTCTAATTTTACATTATCTGCTGGGAAAGAGAAAATTCATTTATTTTGTAAATTTATACCAGAATTATGTGGCTATAAAAGAATCTAATAAAACTCACATTCCATAGATATTTTCTTGAAACATACATTCTATGAATCTTATGAGTCTGGCATACAATGGAGAGGCTCAAAATGTTCTTTCCTGGCACGTGTGAGGCATTGGGTTCAATCCTCAGCATCACATAAAAATAAATAAATATATGATAGATAGATAGATAAAAGTATTGTGTCCATCTTCAACTTTAAAAAAAAAGTATCAGTGGGTGAGAGTTATCTAAGAGAGAATAGAAAAAGGAAGGAAGGAAAATTATACATAACAACTATACCTCAACAATAAGAGTGAAAAGTAAATATATTATCAGGATGCTATATGCCATGAGAGTTACTAGCAGCAACAAGGTTGAAAACATACTGAACTATGAACCAAAGAACTCTTCCATAACACAGCAGAGCAAAGGCAAATAAGTCACTTATCTTCAAATAAAATGATGCCCAGTGCTGTGACACTGATTGAGCAACAATATACACTATAATTATAGTTATAATTATAGAGAACATTATAGTATAAAGATTTCTGAGGGAGTTAAGGGAAATCAAATAATAGAATGTATTACATAAATTTGCTTTATTGGCACAAAACACAACATAAAATATAGATATTATTACATAAAGAATAATATGACTACTTCTCAGAAACTGGTTTCTAAGTATGTAGTAATGTTACTAAATGACTGCATCATACCAGGATTTTAAATTATTCCAAAATTCAACCATTTCAAACTGACTTTAACTTATATTTTATGTCATTTAATTATGCCATTTATTGTAAGGTATATCATTATTTAATCTATCATTGAAGGGAAACCCTTCCAAGTACATTTTTTTCCTTTTTTTCTGGGGGTAGGGGGTTAACAGTGATTGAACTCTGGGGCACTTGAACATTGAGCCAAATATCCAGCCCTATTTTATATTTTATTTAGAGACAGGGTCTCACTGAGTTGCATAGTGCCTCACTTTTGCTGAGGCTGGCTTTGAACTCATGATCCTCCTGAGCCAGTGGAATTTCATGTGTGCACCCCCATGTCCTTCTTGCCAAGTACATTTTGATTCTGTAATACAACATGCATTCTGATCCCTAGAGATGTAAAATAGGGGGGGAGCTATTATCCAAGAAATAAAGTATTTCCATATTTCCTTGTGAGAAGCTTTCTTTGGTTAAGTGAAAGAAGCCACTAACATATGTGTTGTAAATTCCATTGAAGTATTAACTAAAGAGGAGAGAACTTTATATTATAACCATAGTCTCAAACACAGTGACCATTCTGTAGTCATCACAGAATGTTCTACAGGAATGGAATATTCACAAATAATTCAAAATAAGATGTTTTAAAGAACAAAGTGTGAAAGAAACTGTATTTCAGGACTGGTAGCATGACATTCGAATAATTTTACTTCATTATCCAAGAAAGATAGGCACCTATCACCATTATTTCACCTCAGTGGTTCTCCATGAAGATTTTTCTGATCTGCTCATCAGATCTGCTCTAGTTTGCCTGTGATGAGTACCTATGGCAAACAAGTGTGAGAGATTATTTCCCTTTCTGGGTTAACACAGCTTTGTAGATTACAAATGGGAACACTTCTTGAAGCAATGTTTTCCTCATTTCCATGTGAACATTGAAGATGAAGGAGATACTAATATTGCAAATATTATCTGAGTGAGTTTCTAGGTATTTATAACAAAACTTACTGCACAAAATCTGTAGATAAAGGATCCTCCATAAGAACTAGCACAGAAAAAAATTCAGAGTAGATTTTTTTTCTAATTTTAGGCAAAATGACTAATCCCAAGAAGAATTAAATCATGTCATTTACCAAACGTGGATGGATAAAACCTAGATTTCAGGGCTGGGGATACAGGTCAAGTAGTAGTGTGCTCACCTAGTATGCAAGAGGCACTGAGTTCGATTCTCAGCACCACATAAAAATAAAATGGGGATATTGTGTCCACCTAAAACTAAAAAATAAATATTAAAAAAACCCACTAGATTTCATAGGTAATCATGGATGTTTAGTTGGGAGAAGGAGACATATCAAATAAATTGGGAAAATTTGGTGATATCAAGTAAATATGGAAATTATATTCATTGTGAAAAGAGTAAACTGACTTTTGAAATCAGACAAACATGTTTATACATCTATCTGTCAATAATTCTCATTCATATAGGGACAGCAATTACTTTATCGTGGATTTCTTGTGAATAAAGAAGATAATCCACAGAGTTTTGTGATTTTTGGATTTGGCATTATGCCTAAAATAGGCAATATTACTCTGAATTCCAATAGTTTTGCCCCAAAATTATGACAATGTTTATTTAATATAAAAATATAAACTTCTTTTATTCTTAGAACATATAGACAATAATGAGTGATCCAAAGTAGGGATATTCATTTTCTTTCATAGAAGTCTAGGGGTTCTGGAAAAATGGCCTGAGGGCACCCTGTGAAAGAACAGGAGCCAGATGGTTCTGACTCTAGCTGAGCTTTGCTTTACTATTTTACTACCTTGACTCCATTCAAGATCTGTCCTAAAGTCTATGCTCATATACACAATTTTCTCATCTATAATTTCACTTTGATGTCTGAATTCAACACCCTAACTCTCAGGATTCAGACTGCCATCACATATTTGTCCTTGCTTTCTTAGGACAACAGTAATCTTCCAGATTATCAGGCCCAGAGATCTAAGGTCACGTTCAATTTCCTTCTTTCTCACATTTCAAATTGGATTCATCACTAAGTCCTTTGGTCTCTTTCTTTAAAATATATCCCCAATCTGTTAAATTATCATCAGCTCTATAACTGACTCCTCATTTCAAGGCTTATTGCAGTGACTCCTTAACTAATATCTCTGCTTCTGCTTCATCTCTTTCAACTCCTTTTGCATGAAGCAATCAGCATATTCTTTTCAAGAATTAGTCATCTCTTGAAGCATCTCTACTCAAATATATATTTTCATATCCCTTAGAGGAAAACTGAAGGTTTTATGTGGTGTAAAGACCTATCTCACCTTAGATTCGGGTTCCTGCTCAGACTTTGTGTCTAATCACCCTCGCTTCCTGGTACGTGCTCAAGTACTCCATGCCTGTACTTTCCACAGGAACTTCACCTCCTCTGCCTGCAGTGTTCTCTAAATACTAAAATGTGTTGTTCCTCACTTTTCTCTGCTCAAATGTTAGCTTATCAAAGAGGTCTTTTCTTTCTACTAGTTTAAAAATGGCTTCTACATATTCCTAGATAACTCTGTCTGCCTTGTTTTTTTTCTTCATAGCTCTTACCATCTTCAATCATTGCATGCATTTTTTGATAATTGGTTTATTGTCTTTATACTCACATATCCTAAAATCTAAGCTCAAGGAGACCTGGGGCACATCTGTTTTGTTCAAGGTTGTGTTTCTTTAAAAAATCAAGATTCAGTATGTGCGCACACTTGTGAGCGCATACACACACATGGGTTTGTGATACCCTTATGAATTGCAAATATCCTTAGGTAGAATAATATAGTTAGCATTTTTATGAATTTTAGCAGACTGAATAAATGCTAATTTTAACATATACAGGATATGCATAGTAATATATACATTTTAACATATGCAGGATATGTATAATAATAAACACATCTTTAACATATGCAGGAAAGGAAATAGAATAAATACCTTATGCCCCCTGTGTCTTCAGACGTTCCATAAATCACTTACAGGTATATAGGCAATAGTGTCAAACATACAGCAATAACTTAATGAATGATAACTGTAACTATTTGGTTTTTTTTGTATGTGTGTATATATATATATTTTTTTTCCTTTGTGTGTGTTGTTATGTTGTCCTTTTTAGGTATTGGAGATATAGTGAAGAAATGAAAACCATGGACCCTGGCTATCCCAAGCCAATCACAGTCTGGAAAGGGATCCCTGAATCTCCTCAGGGAGCCTTTGTGCACAAAGAAAATGGTATGCAAGATGTGCATTACACATTTCTTAAGTTTCCTAACTATTGTAGTAACACACTGTTCTTTTCCATTATGTTAAATCACTGGGAGATGCCATACTTTAGCTATGTAATATTTATATAAACTTTCCTCTTAGATTAATATTTAGTATTATGCTGTACTTTTTAACCTCAACTTACTTAATTTTGTGAAGAATCATTAGAAAGATACACAGTTAATATTTTAACATGGGGCAGTTTAGATACCTTTGAATTAAACTGACCTATATGTCTATTAACATCTCGGAAAAGATAATAATAAGAAAATATGTGGGATAGGAACTGGCCTTGAGAGGAAGAGATTAGTATAGACTGAAGAACAAAGCACCTAATAATAATGCAAGTTGAATATTATAATTTTTATTTGCTGCTTGCTTAGAGTGTTAGCAAACAAGCAAGATTTTCATTCAGTACAGTCAGACTAGAGAGATTATATAATGACTTCGTAAAAATCAAAAGGTAAGCTATGTACATGACATTTGATAACCAGAAAATTCAAGATAATGGGATGCTGAAACATTGCCTCTACTTCACTCTTCCACCATTATATAAATCCATTGTTGTAGGAATCCTCCTTCAAGGGTCAATTTTTTTTAAAAGTATACAGGCTCAAAATTAAGCTGTAAATGTTTATGCCTTTTACATTGAAGTGAAATATGCCTACTTATTGATACTAATTCTGCCATCTTGGCCAATGAAATATGAGTATCTGATGCCATTGAATGTCTTCTCTGTTATTAGATTGCTACATAAATTCATTATATCAAATTTAATTGTCCTACATAAGTACCTCTTTACCAACACTAAATTCGTTCAAATAACTTATCCCTGATTGTAAAATTTGCAAGATATGTACTTAAATCTTAAATCTAAGGACATTTTAGCCCCAATAAATATGATTTAATGCACTGTCTCCAAAGAGGAAACATTAATGTGTTTTTTTTACATTGTTTTGCTAAAGTAACTGGCCATCTGTTATATCTGGTTAAATTTTTCATTTGGTCATACTAGACAAACCCAGGTTTCCTGAGATTGTCACTTCCTAAGCCATCCTCCTTCCGGTTTTCCCTATAACCATCTTAACAATTTTTCTTTCTTCTTTTTTCCTCTTTACTTTTAGTTCCCTAAAATAACCGCAATAGTCCAAATTAGATTTGACTCTTTCAGAATACGGTAGAATGATTTCTTAACATAGATTACCTCACAGTGTTTTTCACACAGCAGCATTGGTTTTTAACTGTAATAAAATCATAGTAAAGAATCAACCCCTCCTTCAAATTATTCCTACATTTGTTGTCAAGTCACACTTTTCGAATATTCTATTTTTTCTCTTTGGAATTCCCTTTTGAAAGAGACACAAAATTCCAATTTTAATCATCATATTTTGTTTTACCATTTGCAGCCCCATGTTTGGCCTATTAACATAATTTTGTCCCCTGGTTCCGTCAGTTTGGTGTATTTATTCTTCCCCTCAACACTCACTCTCTGTTAAAAATACCACAAGTTTGATTTAAACAAACATTTCCACAGGAGTCAGTTTATTCACAAATATTTACCAAACACTTAACTGCCTACCAATAAACATGTAAAAGCCCAAAATAGGACATAGAGGCACTGCCGTTGGAGAACATCCATTCACCACTACAACTGCAATGAACTGTCATTACATTTTTAGGATGAAGCAATAGAAAACTAACTAGTGAGATCTGGCCAAACATAAAAGAAAAAAGCATCATCAAAGTATACATTGCAACCTCACTGATTTCTTTCTGAAAATTTTAATTTTTATCATATGCAGGAGCATGACATCAGAGCTGTTTTTAAAACTGAAAAAGATATAATTAACTAAGCATTTCCTCAACTAATTGACATTTCAGAAGTGAAAAAGGTAAACCTAAATTATTGAGCGAGATAGATTTTACAGAATAAAGGTTTAGCATATTTCTATTACCAATATTCCAGTCTGCTTCTTTCCAACCATATTATTTAACAAACTCCTACAGACTAGATTCCTTATTTCTAACAATTGCTTTCAGTAACTACAAATTCTGTTCCTATATATGTAGTGTGTTACTATAAAATTTGGCTTTTAGAACTGATAAATATGAAATGCCCAGTAGCACAGATAGTAATTAGCTTTGGCTAAAAATTGAAGATGAGGACACTTCCAGCTGTTAGTTTCCAGTTTATAAACATAAGAAGTACGTTCATCTATTTTGAAGGTCTGTTTAATTCTAAATCAGTGCCATTGTTCAACTGTGATCATCTAATGTGCTGTTATTTGGCAGGCCTTCAACATTTCTTCATCCAAGCTTGTTGAGTAATTACACTGGATTTCATTAGTCCGATCAAATACCAGCTCCCTACAGAAAAAATTTGAATCTACATACACCTGTTTTCACTTGGCAAGTTGCTCTGATTGCAGGACTGTCCTTCGAAACTAAAAGCCACAGCAGATTTTCATGGCTTTGAACAGAAAGACTTCCAAAAGGAAGTTGACCTGAAGTGATAGTCTATCCTTTCTGGAATTATTTTGTGCAATGTTGGAGTTCTTTATTTCAGGGGTGACATTTATTGCAACCTTTGATATTAAACCAACAACATCATTCATTGAGTGTTTAGACTTTATACGTATAAAAAAATATTTAAATCCTGCTTTCACCATGATACATATGTGTGTATGTGCATAGACATATGTGTTTATATGCATATCATATATGTATATATTTTTTAAATCTACAACCCTCAATATATTTGTCTGAAAAAAATGAGTAGTAACTTCTACTTGACCAAGCAGTTGTGAGACTTAAAAGAGAGGGCACATACTAAGTTTCTACACTTGCATCTCCCATAATTACAACATCAGATATTTCATTTTTTCTTAGTTTTATTGCAAAAACAAGAATTAAGTCCAAGTAGCACAGCCAAAGAAACTTGACATAAAGGAGCTATAGACAGAAGAAAAGAGTAGATATCTGCCTTAAAAAAAATTAACAGCAAAGCAAAGCAAAATTATTTAGCAAATAATCCTAAATGCATACATATAATTTATTTGTCAGGAGCTCACAAAGTGAGCATCCAGAATGTTTTAGAACATGAATCATATATATTGCTGAGTTCTTTGAGCCTTCCACATACCATCTCCTCCCCCAGGAATTGTAAGTTGCTTAGAAGTATCAAAGTTATAAATGTAGATTTGTTTATTCCTAGAAAGATTAATAAGGGCTTTTAAACACTCTATAAAATATAATTAGTTGACACAAATTTAACATAAACTAAGTACAAATAAGTTAAACAACAGGGAAAAAAGAAAGGGAAAAACAGATGTGGCCTAGAGCCAAAAATGAGGTTAGCACACAAAATACTATGAATATCTATTTATTTGTTAAGATTTTTAGCAGACAAAAGAAAACACCTCCAGTTTTATGATTTATAATGATTTCTTGTCCAAATGACAAAAGAAAACCTATTTTTTGGAGGAGTACAATGATGCCTGATACTAAGACTATAAGAAATTTCCCTGGAGGTGTGGAGAGGTGAGAAGCTGCTTTATAAAATGTATTGAACAGTGTCTTCGGTGGCAGCCTAAGGGTAAAACAGTGTTTCCATTTATAAGGCTGTTTCAGTTTCTTTCAGTATAGGTTGATGTCATCACACTAATGTGTGATTCTGTGCCAGCACACCATAAGCCAACAAAAGGATAAAGTTTTCTAGTGCAGAGGTGTAGATGTGACTTCCAGCTCATCATCCTCCAGCATCCTCTGTAGATCAAATCTCTCTCTGCTGAGCTTTCCATGGGTATTAGAAGGCACAGTTCCTGGAGCACAACAGTTGAACTGAGGATAGGTTTTCTTCCTACGAAAATGGAAGGGTCTTAAAATACACCTTTTACAAATTAGCTTCTGTCATTAGCATTCCTATACTTACAGACTTTCACCAATAAGTGGTATCTGTGTGTATGTGTGTTTTCCCCCCGCAGGCTTTACATATTTCTACAAAGGAAAGGAGTATTGGAAATTCAACAACCAGATACTCAAGGTAGAACCTGGATATCCGAGATCCATTCTCAAGGATTTTATGGGCTGTGATGGACCAACAGACAGAGATAAAGAAGGACACAGCCCGCCAGATGATGTAGACATTGTCATCAAACTGGACAACACAGCCAGCACTGTGAAAGCCATAGCTATTGTCATTCCCTGCATCTTGGCCTTATGCCTCCTTGTATTGGTTTACACTGTGTTCCAGTTCAAGAGGAAAGGAACACCCCGCCACATACTGTACTGTAAACGCTCTATGCAAGAGTGGGTGTGATGTAGGGTTTTTTTTCCCTTTCTTTCTTTTTCCAGGAGTTTGTGGTAACTTGAGATTCAAGACAAGAGCTGTTATGCTGTTTCCTAGCTAGGAGCAGGCTTGTGGCAGCCTGATTTGGGGCTGACCTTCCAAACCCAGAGGGTTGCTGGTCCTGCACATGAGTGGAAATACACTCATGGGAAAGCTTCCATGATGCACAGTATCTGCCGTTCTTCAGTCCTTTGTCTTTCTTTGTCATTCAGTTATAGGCCTTTCCTCTGCACGCTCAATGCCCAGTCAAATTTCAGGATTAACTAAAGAAGAGGAAAAAAAAAAGAAGAAAAGATTCTTCTTAAAGGTTTTAAATATTATTTTCCTTCTGAAGTCTGAGCCCATTTTGGGGAGAGAGAGAGAAAAAAAAAAAGCAAAAGAGAAAAATCCACAATTTTTGCTTTAAAGCAAAGGAAAAAAAATGTTTAAACAAAAAGTCCACAATTGAACTTTCAGGAAAGTGTGAAGACCCAAAACAGCTTTGTCTCCAAAGAAGATAGCTCTGTGACTGCTATGGATAATCTCCTGCGCATCATTTTGTCAGGTGGGAGATCTGGATACACAGGCAGGACTTTAGACTGTCGGGACAGCCATTTTCCAACAAACAAGGGGCCAAAATATCTGCAATATAGTAACAGCCTTAATAATACATCCATTTTTCGTTTTATACAGCTGTTCTCAGCTATGTCCTCAATGTTTCATCACATTTCTATTCATACCTATATTCAAAACAGGACCTTTGAATTGTTTTGAAGTGTTTCTAAACCCTCTCTTGCCACCTGACCCCTCTATCATTGTGATAATATCCCCAGGTTGTATTTAGGCCAATGCCCCAGGCCTTCCATGGGTCTGTCAGGAATATTCATTACAAAGCAGAGCAAGAAGCAGTATGTTTCTGAAGTAGATTAAAGTGACAGTTATTTTGCAAGGATTTGTAATTCTAGTAATATATTGGTGTAACCCTTTGAGAACTATCAGACCAGCTTTCAGAGTCTTAGGATTGTCAGTGTTGCTATGTGGTAAATTGTAGAACTGGCCAATGTTAAAAACAGTGATAGGTTCAAGAAGTTCCAGTTTTTAAAACATATCCCATAACCTCCTTGTAATTCTAAAATGATTTACAGTACTACATGAATACACTTATAACGAACAGCAATGATGTTACCTGCCCAAAATTTTCTGGCAAATAAAAAAGATATTTTGTTAACAGTATCTCCTAAGAGTGAAATTTTATTTGAATAACTGTTTATGGCAACCTAATTCTTTTTTTTTTCCTTAGACATATTGAATTCTTGTTTTAAAATCCATTGCATGAGAATTCAATTTGCCTTGGTATACGCAGTTAGCATTGCCATTTTAAAAATGAATTAAAATGATGACTCTGAGGTTGCATGAATATCCTCCATTGCATTACCTACTGCATGTCAACCATAGTTCTCAAAGGGTTAGTATGGCTTCTGGCATTTTGCCATCCATTTGATCACTGACAGAGCCAAGAGACCACCAAAGCATTTCATTGTTGAGTGTAATTTGTCCTAAGAGCAGTATTGTCATTTTCATGTGACCTGCAGAGCAGGTTTGTATCAATATTTTTTTCCTAGAGAAAAGTCAGCAACTGACAGACCTCTTTATTGATTTTTAGGAGCTGCTTCTTGCAGTGAAAGGCTTTACAGCCACTGGGCTGTGAACTTATTAGAGATGGTCAGGAGGAATGCACCCCATGAGTCAGACATTGGCTTTGTGTGAAAGCCAGCTTTTGAGGGGATTAGCTTTTGAAACAATGAACAGCTTGCCTTGAACTTGATTATTGATCTGTTGACTGTCATTAACAACAACTTAAACATTGTCTTCTGTGAAAATTTTCCTTGAAGAGTCCTGTTCTATGTCTTTGCCCTTTGACCTTTAACTTGCAAACTGGCACAAACTGAAGGGAATATGGTGTTGCTTCTCCATGGGATTGTTAATTGTTCTCTAAAACCTCTTCAACATGAGCTGTTTCCTTAGAGTGCAGAGAGAAAGAGTGTTGATGGTGGGTCTGCAGATGGACATTTTGTCTTTACATGCACACTCTAAAAATGCCCTTTAGGTAGAAGTGGTTTTTAATTTCCTTTTCATATGATTTGAAGCCTAATTTCATCATTTTAATATGAATTACAAAAAATATAGGAAAAAAAATAACCTCAAATACTTGAATGGCCAGTGTGGCTTTTATATAAAGCAGGAATTTTATACTAGTGAAAATTTCTTACTCATTTGCTAACAATACACATTTCCAGATGATTTTTAATGAGTGTAGGTATACATTCTTATTTGGAAATGGATAGTTTGGCTGCCTTGAATTTATATTTATACTCAACATAGCATGAAAATTAGAATGCCTTTTGGTTAAACTACATGTTTATGATTTGGTTGGGGAAAATATTTTCTAATCATGGGTGGCATGCTGAAAGCCTTGCAGATTGATATTTCTCATAATCTGAAAATATATACTGTAAGGCTAAGAGAAAAAGAACAGTTAGAAAAGAGGAATGGCTTTATAGCAAAACATTATGCAATGCAGACTATATTTTGACAAGATATCAAAGATGATGGATTTGAGGTCCCAGAAAGCAAGGAAAGAGGACCAGAATAAGCCCTATAGCTTTACTTCAGTGCTTCCATTCTAGATGATGCTGATATTATAAAAAGAGTTAGTCACTGCTAAGCATGGAGGACTTTATACATAAGCTTGTTTGTACAGTGTTTGCTTGTGGGAGGGTTTAATTCTTTCAGGACCTTAATGTCAAGAGAAAAAAAAATGACTGGAAATTATATTTTGTGAAAGATAGAAATGAGGAACTTTGTCATTTTGGGACACGTGCAAATCATTCAGGAACTCCATCAACCTGCATTGAAAAAAAAAATGTTTTTTCTCTAAAATGAGAAAGAAACGAAATAAGCAATCTATTGCCTCTTTACTCATTCATCACAATATCCTGATTCATCATGAGACTGTAAGTATATAAGGGCTAGAAAATAATCATAGCATTAAGGAAAGTCTATCATGCTTGAATTCTGGCAAATGTCAAGGATAAGGCTTGAGTCATATTTACTTGAATGTAAGAAGGGGTTTATGTAATAAAAGAAGGTGCATATGGCTGCTCTTTTGAGTAAGACATTGATCAGGCTGTAAGAACACAAGAGATAAGAAAATAATAAGTACAATATAATCACAAACACTGGGATTCCATTTTTTTTTATTGTACACCAGGCACTTTGTAAGGTCTCTAACTCTTCTTCAGTTAAGATTTGGAAAAATATCAATTATAATAAAATAGTGAGAGTGACTAATTGATCTATCATATTAGAATAGTAATTCAAAAACCATATGGGATAAATTACCAACAACATAATGTATCAATCAGTCCTGTTCCAAAGAGACATGCAACCTAAGTAATATTTTTCATCTCATCCCTAACAACTTGTAAAGCTCAGACCTACAGTTTCCTAAGTCAAATGAAAACCCACTTATTCTCACAAAAATATTCTTCTGTTTTGTTATTTCTCATTACTTTACCTATTATAAACACAGATGTAAACAAGATAATGTTCTTTATATAAAATGTCTCTATAGTTTATAATTTTAGTCAAATATTATTGTTCTGTATATTATTAACTGGACAGAATGAAGTATTAAAAGAGCTGAGCAGCTTGTATTCTCTGAAGCAGAAATTCCACATCACCCTTGTAGAGAAGATTGTAAATTAAACTCTTGACCCGTTTTAGAACAAAGTATCTGCTGATATGGCATTGTTAGCCATTGAATACTGATGCTCTTTACAGTTGCAAGTGTTATATAGCTAACTTAGAGAACATTATGTATTACTTGCAAAGACAACTTCTGTTATCAATCAGAAAGCAAGGCTTTTCTGAGTCAAATATAATAAATTACTAAGTAATGATTACCACAAAATAATTACTAAGTAATAAAGGATACAAACTAGTTTACTGAAATAAGCAAATGTTCCTCTTATTACTGAAATTTCCTATAATCTTTTTAAATTTACACATAATTTGGCTTTTCATATACTATATATTTATTTTCACTTCCTTTCTGTGTGTGATTAAAAACACAATGTGTTTGCTAGGTGTGGTGGCGCATACCTGTAATCTCAGCAACTTGGGAGGCTGAAGCCTCTCAAGCTGTCTTCACAGCATTGAGGACAGCCTCAACAATTTATTCAGTCCCTAAGCAACTCAGTGAGACACTGTCTCCAAATTTAAAGGGCTGGGGACATATGTAGCTCAGTGGTAAAGCACCATTGGGTAAAGCACTGTTGGGTTCAATCCCTAGTAACAAAACAAAACAAAAAAACCTACACACAAACACACACACAATGTGGTGGGTAAGAACATTGCCCAAACTTCTCTGGTAGTTCTAATACATGGATAATGTTGTATATACTGGATCCTAGGAATGGTAATGTAATACTTGCAAGTTCTCCATATTGTATTGCTATCTCTAGTATGGTGCAAATACCCATACTTTGTGGATCTTACAGTAGAATAACCAGTGTATTCATATTGACTAAACTCAATGTGCTGTCTAAAGAAGAATGAATGTTTTGATCAAATAGACTTGTTAAACAAGAGTCATGAAAAGAATCTCTTTTTTAAAAGTTTTCAGAGTAATTTCCAGAAGCTAATAAAGGCAGTGATTCACTGACAGTCTTGAGTCTTTGAGATTCTAGTATGTTCTGGAACAACCTTGTAGATGGTGATGAGCTCTTTTCAGCAAACACAGCAAAAGTTTAATTTTTGATGCTCTTAAGAACAATCCCAAAGTATCACATATGTCAAACAGAATATGCCATCTAAACAAAAAAAGTAAAATCAGCTGACATTACAAATGCTGTAAATACAATCTCAGCCAATATATGATATCACTGAAGGTGTCAATCAGCCATATTGGAGAATCTAACCATTCCACTGGATTTCATGAACCTTTGTGATACTGATTTATTGTGACCACAGGAAACACATGCTACAGCATATGTATCTAATTTATAGTTTCCATGTTGCCAGAAAAGGAAACATACCTGCATCAGAAAAGATTTAACAGTTACATTTTAAAAGTTAGAACTTCATATAAAAAAGAAAATAGCAATCAGAGATAGTACCACACCATAAATAATGAAAGCTATATTTAATAAATATAATGGACAAGGAAGAGGAAGAAAAGAGTCTTTTATAAAATATAAAGACACTATAGCACTTGATAAAACAACCAGTAATTTCACTTTAGCAAGTATAAAAATAGTAGAGAAAATTGCAACTTCAAGCTCTTTGCAGTAGTGATGAATATGTGATATGTCAATGTATATATTTAGCCAGTGGTCATTAGATGTTACCTGCATAAACACATGTGATACTCATGCATTGCCTTCTAGCCCAAAAATTTCAGAAATAGGTGTTCAGTAACCTCCTCCATTGGAAAGATATATAATGTTAGAATCCCCTGAGAAAAGCCATTTCCCTAGAATAGAAATTTACCTCAATAATCATGGAACACAAAACACTTGGCATAGTAGCAAAAGAGTTGCCTTAGTGTTACAGTCTCATCTAAATGTAATCTTCATCTTCAATGTACTGCTCAAATCATTCCTCATTTTTTTCTATTGGTATAATTTTGAAGTAATTCTGAAATATTTCAGATCAGATAAATAACATTCAATTACAAATATCTCTTTAAACATATGTCTACTTTGAAATTTAAACCAATAGTATAGAAAGCCTAAGAATGAACACTAATTTGACACACTTACAGAAACGGAGGGAAAAACACGTTATATCTTTCTTCAGAGCAAGGTATCATCAACCCTTATTTCGCTTCCAAAAACTGAAGGAAAGAATCATGATCAAGAGTAAAACCATAAAGTTTTTGATTTACAGAGATGTTTCTTGAGTATTTTATTTGCTTGTCTTTGTAAAATTTCTGGTAGAATATAGAAGTAACAGTCTTCATTTTTTGATCATAATTGTGAGCTTATAATGGGACATGACGTGTATCGTTTTTTTTAGAACAAAGCTAATTCGTTATACTAAGTAGGGATAATACTTTTTAATGAAAATGAGGACATACCAGTAATTCTGGCCAGTACTTAATAAGAATACAAATTATACATTAAAGACATTTATAAATGGAGGTTTTTGAGGATTCTATGCCTTTTCAATTTAAAGAGCAGTGTGTCTTAGAATTTTTCTTATACTAACATAGTGCTGAGGATAATTTTCAAATTTGTACTCAACGTGTCCTTACATTAAAGGGCACATTGGACAGTGTAGGAAGACACTTTATCAACTAGAATGATGTGCTGATTCACATAACTTTGCCATGTGCTCTGCTATAGAGCTGGATTTATATGCCCTTAAGAAGGGAGAAAAAAATCAGTTAAATATAAATATGAAAATAAGATAATTATATCATGTTAGGCCCCTTAGCTTCAGAGCAAGATATCATTAATCTTTACTTCACTTCCAAAAAATGAAGGAGAGAATTGTGATCAAGAAGAAAAGGATAAACTTTTTGACTTATAGAGATGTTCCTTGACTATTTAATTCACTTGTTTTTATCCATGAAAATCCAACCATTTTCATGCCATCACGTCTGTAGCATTTGGTCTGTAGCTAGTTTGGATCCCTGGCACAATATTTTTTTCCACAGGCCTTTTTATACATGCCTCATATATAATTAAGCTTTGGTGAGATGTGACTGCATGCTAGGATGCTTTTTCCTAGGTCAGGATATGGTGCTGCTTGTACTAGCTGTGTTTTATATGAATGTATGTTGCTACATTGACCTGTCTTATCAAGATGTGGATGGAGAAAGCCTGTGTGAGCTGTCTGTTGAAGTCACTAGGATGCATGTTGTGTTTGCCATCACGTAATGCCAGTTTTTAATGTTCCCTCTTTAGATATTGACAACCCGTTTTTAAGATAAAACATTGTTTTGCTTGAATTAATGATTTTCTTAGTAATACAAGGGTTATTCTTATCTAGTTTTTTTTTCTTTTTCCTATCACTGAAATAACTTTGCAGAGGCCACATTATTGTCTGTCTTCTCACAGTTCTTTAGTATACGCCACCGCCTAGGCAAAATTATGTTTTGAGTTCTTTTGGTTATTTACTCCTTTGTATCATATGGATTCCATTATTCCTGTGTTCATAAATACAAAAGTTCACAATCTTTGTTACTCCTAAAAACATGACTTCTAAACAAGGGTGAGTGTATGCCTGTTTTTTTCTGCTCCTTCAATTCTGAGATGAGTATTTGTTTGCTTTCTGTTTTTTACTCCAAAAATGAGCTATTTGGGAAGGATATTTTATATTGTGCTGTCTTATCAGTCTCTGCCTATATTTGCATTCCTTTAAATCTCCACCTTGTGTCCTCCATTTTTTTTCCTGTTGTTGCTATACAGATTTCGATTTTTCTCTTCCTCTGTGAAAACCAAAATTGAACAACCTTTTACATCAAAGGTGGCACCCAGGAAATGTCTTTTTTTTTTTTTTAGTATTTTTCTTCACAAATTTTATGCAAAGATTTAGTCCTTGTCATTTCACACATCCCCAATCTCTGTCATTGGCTTCTAACTTTTATAGAGCTATTCCCCTGAGAAAAGTGAAATGCTGACTATACTGACTGTTGTCTGTTGATAAGACAGCTAAGGAAATTTGTTTCTGCAGAATGTATAATAAATAATTATACAGTAAAATGAATACCATAATATAGTGTTCTGTTTAAGGTACATCATGGGGACATGAATGCCTAAAGCCTTGATTCTTTGGTCTATTTCCTTTTAAGTGTAAATTACATATACATATATAAGTATAAATGTATGTGTATATGTAATTTACATTTGATGTATACATACATATATTAGAAATAGATAGAATAAAAGAATTAGGGATATTATAGCAGCAGCTTTTCGCTGCATGGGTTGTGACTGCATCAGCATTTCTATTGTGAACCTCTATTTTTCAGGGGTTTTAGAGACTTGGCCATAAAAATTTGCTTCAAGCTTAAAAGTCTTGAAAGATTTTTTTTTTAGGTATCTAATTTTAACAAATATATCTTGTTTTTTTATATTATAGGTGGGAAATAAATGGAGTTTACTAGTTCAATTTTGTGCTGAGATAACTTTTAATAAACTTAATTTTCTAACAAAAATAAAATCTAATTAGTTCATAGTTTATTGATGGTTTTTAAAAGAATCAAATATTATGGACATTGAGAAATTTGCCTGCTTCATCAGTGTAGTAAAGTATTTTCAAAATGTTTTAAATCTTATGTACCTATATTAACATTATCTTGATTCCAGTAGTGAATCAGTATGATAATGAATGCAGATAACATCCATATAAGCAATCTGGTAGTACAGATTTGGAAAAATATAGTGTATATGAGATATATATGTATATATATGCAGATATATATACATGTATATGTATTTACTAGAAAGATTAAGGGGGATAAGCTCCCATGAACCTAGTTTGTCAAATAAATATTATATATTTTTTAAAAATTACATAGTAATTTATCTTTCAGAGTCCAAATGAGATGCAAGCAATTGCAAAGGAAAAAGAAAAGTTGTCTCTTGGGTAAACAATACACATTTTAAATGGAAAATCATTTTCCTTTCTATGTTGTGTTTATGGGAAATTAAAAGAATAAAAATTAACACAGACTTTATTTAAATATAACATTAAACTGTGAAGCAGGGAGAAACACCAGGAAATTAAAATTTTAGGCCATTATCTTGTGGTTGTCTGAAAATGCTTTGCCTTTTTTATAATTCCCCCTGATGTTTTCAGTTATGGAGAGAGTATTGAACTCTTACCGTTAAGTTTCTGGATTGTTCACTTTACACTATATACTCTTTTGTTAAGTTTTTGATTATATGTAGTCTTATGTGTACAAGGAATGAAATAAATAACACATTTATTTGCCAAATGAATTTTAAGATTTGCAGGTTGTGTTTTTTGCCCATACAGGATTCTATACATTTACACCATCTTAAATCTGGCAAATATATATATATAATTTTTTTCCTGATAGCTTCTACCGACAAACACAAAGCTTGTTTGTGTGCAAATATAAGGCTAAATAAATGGTGCTAAAGTGTATTATGACTGTCAGATATAATCAGGCAAAATTTTGTGGTGCTTAAATTAATTTTTTCATTGATTTATTGATCAGTGCATTGAACAGTGTTTATTCACCAGTTGTCTTTTATTAGTAAATCAAGGCCTCATAGCACATTGTTAAATAAAATGGTTGACTAGTTGACTAGTCTATGTAACAGCTCACCAAGCTATTATCTACTTAACTCCTTATAATGTTGCGTCATTAAAGGTCAAGGGGTCATGCTATTAATCTCATTCTACAGACCATTAACATGACTGAACATTTTCACAAAGTACTTATGTTTACAATGCTATAACCCTTTGACTGCTGCGGCAACCTTTAACCACACAAATGTCACAAGCTAGAATCATCAGCATGGTTCTTGCCATGGCAATCAAAGAGTTAAGGGCTGTGCAGTGATTTGTTTTGTATTTATTAATTTATATTTATTTCATTTCCATTCAAAGTGGGGACTAGGGGTGGGGCAGTTTTTGTCTGCTGTAAGTGTCTTAACCTAGGGAAGGGTTAAATGGCTTTTTATACTATTGCATCTTCTGTATTTACCATCAATTCATTGTGTTGTAATTAAAAAAAAACCTGTCAATAAATAAGAGAACAGAAAAATGGTTCATAGATATTGTGGTTTTACTCAATGAATGATATACTCACATTTATGACTGATATGTAGGATATCATCTAGGGCAGAAGTCTTTACCATCTACATATTTCTAATTATTTTGAAACAAATTGAATGTACTTGAGTAATTGAGAGCAGCATCTCCTTTTGCCTGAATGAGCAAGTATATTAAACTGACCTCATGAACTAGAGAACCATATAATGAATCACTAGATGAATATAATTGTGAGTCAAAGACAGAAGCAGAAAACATCACTGTATCAAATATATTTCAGGCAAGTGCCTATGAGCATAAGACATATTAAGATTTCCTGGAACCATCAAAAAGGATAAAAGATAACTTTCATATAGGTGAGTTTAATCAATTATTAAAGGCATACATCCTAACTGTTCAAATAAAATTATTCAAGGGAATTAATTTTTATATCAAATCTTTGGCACAATCCCATATAAATATTTCCCTCTCCTTCTTTGTTTTTGTTTTTGTTTTCCTGCTGAAGATGAAACCCAGGGCCTTGCACATGCCCAGCACAGGCTCTCCCATTTAGCTATATCCCAGCCTTTTTTTCCTTTTAATAGTAGGTTTGTAGAAGAGGGACCCATCAATAGAGAACTGACCACAGAGAGAAAACAAAACTGAGGATAAACATTTTAATATTTAAGATCTTAATAAATGGTCTTGAACACAGAATCTATTGGAAGATGTTTTTAAGAATATCAGGTAGTTGCATATAGTCAAGTGCTAGACCAAGAGCTTTCTGAAACTCAAATGCAGAATGTGTCCATAGTTTAAAAGGGCATCTGAATTTCAGAAAGGAATTCAGAGTGCAAATAAAGTAAAAATATATTCTCTCATGCAAAAGTCAAGATGTATCTGTACACCTAGAAATTAGTCTTATAAATTTTAATCCATATGCAAAAGAGGAGTTCTAAAGCAGGGTAACCAACAAGATCACAGAGATTTAATTGCTTAAAGTAACAAAAAGTAGACTAGAGACAACTTTTTGTATTAAGTTTTGGGGCCCCTGAAAAAGTGGAGACCTCTGAAGACTTTAAGAAGAACTATAAACAAAAGTTGTCAGGTTTTACACCAGGTTGAAGAATCTGCAGTTTAACTTACCTGCAATATAGATTATTTGCAGAAGACTTTTAGTCAAAAGATAACGTTTTTTTTTTGTAAAGTCATTAGTTACATAACTAAAAGCTATTAAGGATATTAAACCACAAATAGAAAGCCAAATCTAAGTGAATCTTCCTTATTCTTATCAAAGAAGAAAGAAAACTAGAAACATCAATCTGATCCAGTATAGCATTCATTTTTATGTACAAGGGTTTGTTAGTATCAAAATTTACTTTATGTGTGGTATTGAACACATAAACATCACATAATTTTTGTCATAATCAAAGTCCAAATCTACTTGTGAAAAAGAAAACTCCAGATAAGTTTATAGAGAACCTACTGCACCACAGGTACATGAATAGGATTTACCAAGTGGGATGGTAATGTCTGTGCACCTTAAATCACCTGTTTCTTAAAGTATTTGAATGGGCATAGTTTCAAACAACTTTATGTTCTCTGAAATTAGTTACCTCAGTCCACCACTAGCTCCCCCAGCCCTCTGCTCCTTTGGCCTCCTCTTTCTTCTCCCTTCCCCTTCCTTTCCTTCCTTTCTTTTCTTTTTTCCTCCTCTAATTGTTCTTAGTCTACTCCTTTTTATCTTCTTTATTCACTTATTATTTCCTTCTTTTTTTTAATTTTATGGCTCTTCTCATCCCTCTACTATACCTACGTATTCAAAGGTCAACGAAATATTTATTACTAAATTGAGTCTTTCTCATTCCCTGTGTCACTTGGCTTATCCACAGTATTTAAGACCGATCATTACTCAGTCAGTACTTTTTCTAGACAGTTCCTTGGTGGCAGGCATACCATTTCTTATTCCTCTTCTATCCCGAAGGCCTGGTAGAATACCTGGTTCATAGTCAGCCCTCTGTGAAATGCAGCCTTGTAGACATTAGAGTTTACACTCTTTCCCCTCACAATGTGTAACATTTTAAACTAATTCTTGTGAGTTTACATAAGTCTCCCTTTATGATCTTCATCTCTTTCATTCTACATTAGCTCCTGGACCCTCCACTCACAACTATGGCTTAAGCTTTATGGTTACCATGGGCAATGAAATCCAGATTCATAATTTCCATCCATTTGCTGGATAAATTAATCTGGCTTTTGTTTAACTTTCCATTTTCAGTCCACTGCCTATAAAATTCTTCACCATCCTTTCCCTCCATACCCAAATGAGATACTTCTTTCTGAGTTGTCTAATTCTCCTATTGACATTAGATTTTCTTGATTACTTATCCATTAAAATTCCAAGTGTTCTTGGCCTTCTCCTTTCTTCCTCTGCTGCACAGGCCCTCTTAGACATTTGCCACATCTATGAATTCTACTTCCAAGGTATCTCGAGCATCCGATTTCTTCTTGACATTTCTATCCTATTTAGTTAGGGTCATTACTTCTTGACTTTTCAGTCTTCTTGCCTAACTCAATCTCTTCCAGCTCATCTGTACATCCCAGAATAACAATCTTCTCAAAGTAGAGTTCAAATCATATCAATCCACTATTAAGAACAAATATTTTTTTTATTCTGACACTTCAAAACCTATTCTCTACTGATCTTTCAAGATTTTTTTCTAGTACATATTTCTATACCCCAAATAATCCAGGTACTTGCCATTCCTCATCCATGGTTTGGTTCATGGATTTCTCTCCACTTGGAATTCCAACTTGCCTATCTTTGTCTTTCCTGACCTCACTGAGTAAATAAAACTTGCCCACCTTTGAAAATTTGTGTCATCTCTTTGCATGGTGTTTTGCTTAGGATGACCCCAGAATAATTAATATTATTTCCCTTTCCCTTTAAAAGTGTCCAAATGTTATTAATAAATGATATGATCATACTCTTATTCAACTATTAAAGTTTATAATTTTATGTGAACTTGTTTTTATTATTTCCTGTTAATCTGAGTTTTCTGGGCATTGTATTACTATTATTATTGTGTTTTTTTTTTTTATTTTTCCCCACCTGCTGCAACATCTAATGCAGTGCCTTGTTTAAAGTAGGAGCTCCAGAAATGTGTATTGAGTTAAATCAAAGTATATTTTTTACTGTAATTAGCATTACAGAAACTTTATTTTGCTTTGTAATACATTCTCTGACCTATTTTCTGCAAGTTTTATGAATAAAGATATTTAAAACATTGGTTTCCAAGATCAAATATTTTAGGTAGTTGATCTTGAGTCTTATTCCAAGACCTTACTTTTATTCCCAAAGCCGTTGAAACGTTTCTCATTAAATCATAATGAAGCCTACAGTTTAGACTAATCTTTTTTTATATTCATCAGGAAATTTTTCAGTAACAGTAACCAAATGAAGTGAGAAGACCTGTTTGCAAACATTCAATGAATAGAGCAATTATCAAAATTTAAAATATTCAAAAAAGTAAATCCTACTTTCAAATGTGTGCACATATATCTAATAAATATTTATTAGTTGACTTACCTACCGTGAGTTGGTAGAGCAGATTCCTTTACAAAAGAGACATTATGAAAAGGCTTTAAAAGTCTTTAGAGTCATTTTGCCTATTCAGAAGGAAATGAAGTTCAAATTCCTACAGGCATACCTTGGTCTAAAGAACAGGATGTTAAACATAGTCTGGAGGTAAGGACAGCACTGGGGACAGGTGTTCAAAGGGGGAAGAAAAGCCAAGTCAAAAAGAAAAAAAGAGGAAACAGACAAACCATTTGAAGGCAGGAGAAGTAGTTTTTAAACTTGTGGCTTTAAACTGATATTATTGGGCCTTTGACTTACAGTAATTTACACCTGAGATACTTTTATTGATTCTGCCTGGTGTGTGACATACACATAAAATCTGTAGCACTTTTTCAGGTTAAATGATGGATCAAACATAGGCATATCATCTTCTTCCCTCCAAAGCCCTACTTAAGCTACAGAAAACTGGGTATTCTTTTATTTCAAAAAATCTAGGAAAAGTGGAACATGAAAGAATTAACAATTTCAACATTTGGGAAGCTCAAAGTATGTGGACATTCAAGAACTGACTTAGTAGACCCAAGAAAACCAAATAAATACTGGCAGAAGTAAGCAAAAAATAAACCCCAAATACAACAGAGAGTTTGCTGAAGACTTGAGGAGGGAAAACACCAAGTTCCTGTGGAAATCAAGTGAATGGAACAGTAAATCAAGAACAAGAACTGAACTGTCTACAAGGAACTGTTAGCTTCAGGTGGAGCCCAAGTCTCCCTGCCTTTAGGCCATATCTCCTCTCCTAAGCAAAAACACTTTTGTTCCAGAGAGAAGGAAAAAGAAAGTCTCTGAATGGAGGAATGCCAGAGTTTTGTACCCAAAACAAGGGATTAAATGGATCTCTTCTACATCTTGAATGCTGGATTGTGAGCTCCACCCCACAACTCTTTCTCTGCCTTTTCACAGGAAAGTCAGCAATGAGTATTTTTTGGGTTTGTTTTCCTCTAGGAAAGCAAATGGGACCCTTCTCTCTAGTGCAAATATATAAATAAAATATATATTTTATATATATATATATAATTCTATATACTTATATAATTATTTATATGAATATATAAACATATATATGTTTATATATACATATATACACACACACTAGCATTTTCTCAGTAAATGGTTGGCAGATTATCCTTTGTTAAAGTGTTACTGATCAGTGCACCCATACAGGGTGATTCCAATCAACTTTTTGTTTTCCCCTATTAAACAGGGTCAGTCAACCAAGGATTTCTAGGTATTTGAGAAAAGGTGTAAATAGAAAGAAACCAAATAAACAAAGATACTATGAAGTAAACAGTTAACACAAGTAGAAAAACTTTAAAACTATTTGCAGTATACCATTGAGGAACAAAATTAAAAATGCTTTGCTTAGAAATTGCAAACA